AGATATTAGCTTTCTTTTATAAGTAGGTTTCGAGACTAAAATAAATATGAGATGTATTCACGCTAGGTTTAACTGCGGTTCCGACCTCAACTAGGCCTCACTAACATCCCCGGTAGGAGTCGAACCTAGCTTGTTTAGCATATAGTTTCAAAACGTTACCCTCTACGCCCGAATGCCGCGGGTGCCTTCGGGTAACAGAGTAGACGTGGACTTCAAGGAAGGCTAGACCAACTCTATTTGTACTTTCTTTAATTGGATTGTCGATGAAGCAAAGTTATATTAGCTATTACAATAGAGTAAATTATTGGGTTTCGTTTATACGTATGTTTCAATACTACTAATACCTACTTATGGACGGACATAAGTATTGAAGTTTATTGTAATAGAAAAGTACAGCTTTGCTTCATCGGTAATCCCATTAAAGAAATTTAAATTTTGGCGCTTTCCTGGGCTTGAAAAAGGATGTGCATATTATTTCTGACATCGTCTTGAGTATACTGGTGATGCTGCCAAAGAACTACCATGTAAACCAAAATATAGGTGCCGATTTATTTCTAGTGGAATAAGTTTCAGCTTCTTTCCATTGTGACTTTCAACTCAGTCAGATGAAATAAAATATTCATCTGTTGCCTTAGTATGCGCAAGTTTCTTATAATGTTAATGACTGAATACCTATCACTTTATATAACATCATAAAGGATTCGCTACCAAAATATCCAGAATCGCGACAGCCGTGAGGAGCTAATTAGTATCCATTTTTTCCATATGAAAAAAACCTCATACGCTCAGAATGTGTTTATTTTTAATTTGTTTACTAATTTTTTTTGAAAAAATGGTCGCTGAAATTTGCCATAAATGATAGCGGAATTAAGGAAGAGTCTAATTGCAGTCATTAGCACCACTAATCCTCGCATTTCATTCTGGCCCGGGAGAATCGAAATCAAAAGTTCTCCTTCATAAAGTACTCTATGCCTAACAAAGCATGCACTATTTTAATATCCCTTGATTTTTAAGGATTTCTTGAAACATATCTTTGCTAACCTCAGTCACTAGGACTAGATGTGTCCAGGAGTCATGTCAATGTCATCAACCTTTCCTTTTACTCTGCGTGGTTATTTTTTAGCACTTATTCACCCTCCTTCATAGTCTCATTTCTAAGCTAATTCGAAGACATTATTAAAATAATCCATTCTGTAGTTCCTGCAATTGTGAAAAGTAAAGAGTAAATACTGAGTGGATGTTACCTAGGTGACCTAAGTTGATGAAGCGCTGATGGCTGTATTTTTCCACAATTTTATGGCAATTCTTCACCTAATTTCATTTAGCTTTGCTTCCAAAAAGATATTCTTATCCAGAGTCCTTCATCATCATATGCGACCTCGGGCGAAAACATCTCTTAATCAAGCTTTCATGGTAGCTTCTAAGCCTACTTAGTCAGAAGATAAACAATGAGCTATTTCTGAAATTAGAGGTTTATCAAGCCAGAAATGACATTTCCGCTCCAACTTATTTGAAATGCAAATATAACCAAATTATAAGGTAACTTATCAAGTTTTCCCTTGACAGCACAACTTACCTGAACTCAATGTCTTCAAAATAATTGTGTGAGCTACTGGATGGATCAATTAATTATTGGTTTGATGCAACTAGAGGAAGTAAAGTAAGTTATGATTGCGAAGGATTTCTTTGGTTCTTTAATTAACTTCTGATTAGTAGTATCATTACTTCTCATGCGATGATGAGAAATAGAATGAAAAGCTAAAATACTTGATTATAACATAATCCTTTAATTGTCAAATTATCCCGGCTAAATAAGCTATAAATGATGAAGAGGAAAAGCGTAAATTGAATCTTTACTTCAGTTATTCGTTTTTTAGATCAGCTTTAAACTCTCTCTGGTTTGTTTTTCCTTGAATTTCTAAATTGATATGCTTTATTTATTTATTTATCTCTAGAAGAGGGCTTAGAAGGATACATATCAAGCTTATATGTTTAAAAATTGAAAGTTGTCCAGCAAATAGACTACTAACTTCAGCCAATTTGCTCCATATTTTTTGTTTATAAGTAGGTTTTAAGGACTAACACTATATCATATTAATGAGATGTGTTCACCCTGTATCATTAGGGTGAGGAAGGAATTTTACTTGTATTTCATGTTAATGATATGAGTAGGCCTTATATTCCCATACAATTTCATAAAGCCTTGCTCCCCAAAGGTTATTCTTATCCAGGATAGACTACAGTTTCGACATCAACATCCCAGAGGGACTTGAAGCATAAAAATGTAGACTATAATTTCGACGCCCTCACAGGTTAGATATGATTTGCAAGGAGGGCTAGGCATTTTTCCATAGCACATTTTGTGGTTGGATTGTCAATAATTCAATGTTTGATTTGCCACAAAAATGTAATGCTAGATCGAAATGCACATAT